GTACAGGTGTCACTGGCATTTTGCTTGGCCACACTGGCAGGCAGGAGCACAGGGGGCTGCCATGGGGCACGTGCCATGACCCGCTCCCCACACCCTGCCTGCCTCCCCCCCACCCCCCCGACAGCTGGTTCTTCTAGTCTGGGTGCCAAGGGTTGGGCGCCAAGCGTGAGTCCTCCAACCTCCAAGCCATCTGCCTCTCCTGGCTCCAGTCCCTCCTCCAGGCTTTTTCCCTTTTCCCCCAGCTCCTCCTCCCGGCCTTTGCTCCTTCTCCCCCAGGCTAGGGCAGGCCTAAACTCTGCTCAGCAGGTTGGGCAGCCTCCTCCTGTAGGTGGGACTTCCTCTCTCAGTCTGCAGTTGGCTGCAGGCTGCGGCCCCAGCCATTCCAGCAGTTCACGGGCCTCCCCTGGCCTCAGCATCCAGCTAAAGTGGGGATCACAACCCCAAGAGGAAAAGCTTCCAACCTTCAAGGCCTCCCAAACCCAGGCATCGACCCCGCGTCACAGATGAGGAAACAGAGGCTGAGAGAAGCAGGGGTGGCCAAGGTCCCCGTGGAGATGCTGCTACCCAGGTTCTCCCCTGCTCCTCAAGCCCCTACTGCCCAAGGCACATGTCTGAAACCCACAGGCGACACCTCCTGCAGGCCTCTTGGCAGTTGACCCCATTGCAGACACCAATGAGGGAGCAGCCGAGCAGACGGCTCTGGCAGATAGAGAGGCCGGAGGGTGCCAAGATGGTCAGTGACAAATGCCAAACGGGACAACACCACACCTCCAGCCAGGACACCTGCCCAGGGCCCTGCGGAGCTCCACAAGGACCCGCAGGTGCCCTGCAGACAAGGTTCCAACTGCAGCCCAATGGTCTCAGGCTTGGGCCAGCGGCAGTCACTTCTCCAGGCTGAGCCTTGCGCCTGTCCTCTGCAAGAGGCATGCAAGGGTACGTGCCCGCTTACAGAACCCTTAAGAGACTAACCCAGGGGTTGGGAGTTTAGCTCGGTGTAGAGAGGATACACAGCACGTGTGAGGCCTCAGCACCAAAGTAACAACAAAATTTTATTAATTTATTTTTTTTCCTTTTTGCGTCAAAGTCTCACTATGCAGTCCAGGCTGGCCTGGAGCTCACTTTGTACACCACACTGGTCTTGAATTCACAATGATCCTCCTGCTTCACCTCCTAAGTGCTGGGAGTACAGGCGTGTTGCCACCATATCTGGCTAACAAAAATAAATTCTGACAGGCAAAAGTTCTGACATTTTATCATTTTACTTTGCCAAAACAGAGTTTTGAAAACCCCGTTATGAACCAGCACTGATCTCTCCACAGGTCGTCAGCCCATGAAGCAAGACCACCCCCACATAAAGGGTGACCTTTGAACTCAATCAGTAGGGCTCCAGTTGTGACTGCATTGTCCTTTCTAACTCCAGGTCAACTGACAGGTCACAGATGCACAGTGGATGGATAGCCCAGCCCCCTGGTTCAGATGGGGAGACCAAGGGACAGGGGTGAGGAGGTGACACTTGCTGAAGGTCTCAATAGCTGCCTTAGGCAGAGGCAAGAGTGGCAGCCAATCTCCCAGCCCCCAGCCAGGATGGTCCCATCCCCCCCAAAACCTGGGTCAAGGCAACCTGGCCTTGCCCAATTCAGCCACCCCAGCTCAGCTCAGGTCTGGCCTGGCCTGGCTCAGCCCAGGCAAAGCAGTGTCACAGGGCTGAGGTGGCCTCAGTCAAGGAACAAGCTACACCTGTAAGGCCCTGCTCCTGCCGGCCACGCCAAAGGGCTCAGGGCCCAGGGCTGGTCCAGGTCTAGCGAGGCCCATCAGGTTTTAAAAAATAGAAAAAGATCTTGCTTGCATAAATCTTACAAAGTCACAAGTTCATGTGCCCATGTTGGTGGAGAAGATACCAAATTCTGGTCTGTCCAGCACTGAGGAGCTCACACAGGATTTCAGTGTTAAAGCCAGTAAACCAGGGTGAATTAGTCACCCACACCTGGAGTTCAGGCTTTACGTGCGTATGTGCATGCGTGCGTGTGTGTGCGTGTATGTGTGTGTGGTACTGAGGAATGAACCAGGGCTTTTGCACTGAGATTCGGGGTTTCACTAAGTTGTTAAACTGTCCAAGCTGGACTCAATTTTTTGATCCTCCTGCTTCAGCCTCCCAGAGTGCTGGGATTACAGGTGTGTGTCACCATGCCAGCTCTAAATTTTTAAAGACATGAAGACACAGTATGCTATTAACCATAGCCCTCCCTCAATGGTGGTATCACCTGTGATCGCCCCACCAATTTTCTCCATTACGGTAAAACACATATAGCATGGAATACGCTGGTTTTGGTTTGTTTTCCTCACTCCCAGCCTCATCATCACAGTTTTCAGGGCACAGCTCAGTGGAATTAAGCATGTTTGGGTTGCCACACAGCTACCACATATGATTTATATATTTTGCAGTAATCAGCTGTATTGCTTTAATGAACTTTTATGAAAGGCTTATTTGTTTTCTAAGCTGCCAGCGAGCTGCATCCGATGGCTCTGCTCAAAGGCAGAGAGCACCTGTGTGCAGGGATGGGGACATGGGCATTCGACTCGGCCAGCTCGACAACCTTCCGTCCTTTCCAACCCTGAAATCTCAGCATTCTGCGCTCTCCCTGCTTTGGGGACAGGAAACCTGGGTTCCACTGCTTTTATGCTCGGCTACCTACAGCAACTTGCCCTGACTCTGGAAGCCGCAGTTTCTGCAGGGCAAACTTGGGGACCTAGATGGGGTCTGACTCATTCCCCTGCTTGCCATGTCCTCCATCCACCCTGAAGTGCACCAGTGTAGCCCCCCTCATCCTGCCAGGCCTAAAGGGTCTCCCCCTGCTCCATGCAGCTCCTCCCATTCCAGGCAGGGAGAGCCCTCCTGACTCTCACAGCCTCTGCCTGGGGGCTCCTGGCTCCCTCCACAGTGGGACTGACCGTGGCTCCCTGAACACCAGGGCTGAGCCTGAGTCATGCTGCCTTCCCTCAGGGCCTCACAGACTCAAAAGAAGTCATCAAAGGCAGCACTGACCCAAGCGGACACGCCTCCTCAAAAGCCAGCAGCTCACCTTCCCAGGTCCGGAACCCCAGGTGGTCAAACCTAAGCAGTTACAAAGCAACTCCCCAACAGGCAAGTGCTCCAGGGACTCTGAGAGCTGGAGATTGTGACTGATGAACAAATTTGGTGCCACAAGCCCTTATGGATGTGCCTGGAGTGCAGGGACACAAACACTAACAACCAGGCTTCTCTGTATCCCCAGTACTGGAAAGCGCTGTCCATCTGGTGGGTATTTAAACCTGGTGACTGTTCCTGCAGTCCCAGGGGGGACTCTAACATTTTTAGACAACACAAACATAGCTCAAGGGGCCAGGAAGATAGCTCAGCAGCTTAAGCACAAGTTTGATGCCCACTACTGCCAAAAAAAGAAAGAAAAAGAAAACAGCTGACGCTTGGCATGGTGGCACTCATCTGTAATCCCAGCACTTGGGAGGCTGAGGCAGGAGGATTGCTACAAGTTGAAGGCCAGCCTGGGATACATAGTGAATTCAAAGCTAGCCTACACTACCTACCCAGACTCTGTCATAAAAAACAAAAAGACATGCCCCGCACCCCATAGAAAGTAAAGGCTTGGGCCGGGGAGATGGCTCAGTGGAATAAGTGCTTCCCTGGCAAGTGCAAGGGCCTGAGTTCAATCCCCGGTTCCGCAAAAAAAAAAAAAAAAAAAAAAAAAAAGAAGAAAGTAAAGGCTACCTTCTTTCTATGCTGGGAGACCAGAGGTAAATACCCAAACTGGCCTGGTGGATTCCTGGACTTTGGGGTCTGAGGCCAGAGGATAGAAAGTTCAAGCCTAGCCTGAGTAACAATGTTTCAGTAAGAACCTGTCTTAAAATAGAAAATAAAAAATAAAAAGGGATGGGAAAGGCCCTGAGTTGAATCTCCAGTACTGAAAACAAATACAAAAACAAAAAACCCATACAAGTTCTCCTACCCAGCCACCAAGCTGGCTGCAGGTGTAGCTACCTGGGGGTCCAGATTGTCCCCGGCCAGTGTCCCAGTGCAGACCCTCCCAGTCCAGGCCCATCAGGAATGGGTGCCAGCCTCCAGGGACAAGACTCACCACCCAACCCCAGGAACCCAGGACCACTGCCCGCAGCCCACAGGCTGCACCCTTCCTCTCTGCTGACTCTGTCTCAGCCTCTGCCCAGACTCATCACTAGAGGTCTCCCAGGTCGTCAGGGCTCCAGGGGCCCCTGTGCTCTAAGCCTGGGAAGGGGACCTTCCTGCGGGCACCTGCTCACAGGCATCCAGGACCCTGCTGGAGGAGGGGCTGTTCTGGATTCAGGAAACATCGGAACTGAATCAAAAGGGGGCCTCAGGAGGCTCCTCCCATCCTTGCTATAAATCGGGAAACTGAGGCTTGACAGTAGAGGTGGCGCTCTCCACCTCGGAAACGAATTTCTCGCTCCCCGAGAACGTTTCTTGGGTGGTTCCCAGCCCAAGGTCACGCGGCAGCGAAGGAGATGCAGCTCCCGGAGGAAGCCAGGTCTCAGGCTCCTGCTCCTTGCTGCCACCTTCGGGGCTCAACCACACAGACGGGGTCCCCAGCCCTTTCCTCTCCAACGTCCGCATCCGCGGCGTGAGATGATCCACGCCCTGACCCGCCTCCCCCTCCCCCGCCGCCACCTGAACCCGAACTAGGTCCCCATAACCGCGCGCCACGGAGCCGGTAGCTGCACACTCGCGGCCTGGAGGTCACGCGGCGGGAGGGGGGGAGTCGCGCCAAAAGGGGGTCTCCTGGGAAACGAGGGTGTCTGGGAGCAGGCACCCCTCGCTGGGGCCCGGGAAGGGGGAGCAGCCCACGCAGGCCCGCGGACAGAGCACCTCCCCGCCTGCTGCCGCGCCTCTAATTTCGGGGCGTCAGGGTGACAGGATGTCGGGGTGCTCCGCTCTCGCCCACACCCCACCACCACCGCCCGCTCGTGCTTACCCAAGACACGACACGCAGGATAGTGTGTGGCTGCCGGACCAGGGTATGGGGGTCGAAGGCACCCCCCGCTTTGCCAGCTCCGTACGCACCCCCTTCCATCGTGGCTGCACCGCGCGGCGCCCCCCGCTCGGCGCGCGCCGCCGGCCAGTGCGCGTGCGCGTGCG